GGGTTGAGTTACAATGACCAACATACATACAAGCTTTAATACCTAGATGTACATCTACATATTATATTTATGAAAGTCCGTCGCTTCGGCTACCTAAAGCTTACCAACCACTTAACTTTCAAATTTGAAAAAAATTAAAGGGGTTCAGGATCGTTTAGAGGGAGCACAGTTTTACTGAGGAGTCTGAAGTCAGTATAGTTTAATTTTCAGTTTTTCCTTAGTTTCGTTTAGATCTAATCTTGGGAAAGTCCGTCTTCTAAGACGCCATTGTAAACACGTGAGGTTTCCGTTCACTGGTCGTGCACACTTATTGCACCTTTGAAATTAAGGAGTGTACAACCACGAAAGCGGAATAGAGAATCAATCTATAGATCCTACATCTATTATCTAATTGTGGTGGCCGAATTTTGCTATTCAAAAGGCTTTTTAATGGCTGCGTCAATCGACATGCAGTTTTCGCCAAAAAATTCTTTAAAATATTCTCCAGATCATGACGCCCTTCGCTTTTTAAGTTTTGAGACAGTTTTGCGGCAAAAAGCTAAATTTCTTTATTTCGCCGATCGCTTTTGCAGGCCGACAATTCTGTCTCTGTAATTTTAGAAAAAGAGGTTTCCGTTCACTAACCGTGCGCACTGTTTTGAGAGTATAGATCTAAAACTTTTAATTTTTGCATCTCTTAAAATTTATTGCTCCATTCCAGTAGAATGCAAATTTCATAAGCCAATGACTTTCGGCTGACGTTTAAAGCACCTTTCATCGAAAGGGGGCCCAGCTAGTCTATTATATACTTGGTAAATTGGAAACGCATGTGTCACTTTTCTCTCAACATTTATTGCTCCCTTCCAGAAGAGTGTAAACATAGTTGGCCAATGACTTTCAGTTGATGTTGATGCACCGATCATTCCTTTCATTGAAAGGGGGTCCAGCTAGTGCATTATACACCTAAACACACTAATATGATATGTAGAAAGAATAATGAAAGTAATTTAATCAAAGTTAGTTATGACATTAAGCCACATCATCATCCGGTGCCTTGCCGACTGGCGTGGGCGATCATGGACCTCCACTTCACTCTGTTTTGTGTTGCAGCAATGGTGTCTGTTGGTCTTGCTGCTCCTAGCCATGTTGTCATCTGGTCCAGTATCTTTTCCATCAGCCTGCCTCTGCCTCTCTTTCCATCAAAACTTGCCTGTTGTTACAAAATTATCCAATGCTTCTTTCCACATTGTGTGTCCGAAGAAATTTGCCTGTCGCTTTCTTATATTCGTCATAAGCTGTCTTCTACAATTTGCTTCAACCAAGACTTCTTCATTTGTTTTTGTAACTGTCTGTGTGATACGTAGCTTGCCATAAAACCACAGCCATACGCCACTTTTTACAAACACGCCATTGCTGGTCGCTAGAACGCAGTGTCCTGCCTTTTTCAAAGAAACCCCAGTTGCCACTCAGCCAAACGTCATGCTGGGGACTCATCCATGA